AGACACACACACAGAGAGAGAGAGAGAGAGAGAGAGAGGTCTTCTATCTGATGGTTCACTCTCCAGTTGGCTGCAGCAGCCAGAGCTGAGCTGATCTGAAGCCAGGATCCAGGAGCTTCTTCCGGGTCTCTCACATGGGTGCAGGGGCCCAAGGACTTGGGCCATCTTCTACTGCTTTCCCAGTCCATAGCAGAGAGCCAGATCGGAAGAGGAACAGCCAGGACTAGAACCTGTGCCCATAGGGGATGCTGACGCTTCAGGCGAGGGCTTGAACCCACTGTGCCACAGCGCCGGCCCCTGTTTTAGGTATTCTTATACATGTGAAGGTGTCTCTGTGGTTTTGATTTGCAACACCTTGGCTACTTAATGATGAACCTCATTTTATATGCTGATTGGCTCTCATCTTTGGAGAAATACCTATTTAAATCCTTAACCAGTTTTTTCAGACTAATTCCATTTATCTTTTAAAAATATTTATTTTTTTTATTAGAGAGAGAGAGATCTCCTATTGGCCGATTCACGCACTACTACCCCCAAAGCCAGCAATAGCTGGTGCTGGGCCAGATCAAAGCCAGTAGCCAGGAACTCTTTCCAGGTCTCCCACATGAGTGGCAGGTTCCCAGGTATTTGAGCCATCACCTGCTGCCTCCTAGGGTTCACATTAACAGGGTATTGGGAGTGGAACTGAAATTTGAACCTAGATTCTCTGATGTGGGATGTCTTAACTATTTCCCTTTGTCATTTTTCATTTGGGATATTTTTGTTGTTGATTTGTAAAGAGTTCCTTATATGTTTTGTATTCAACTGGCTTATCAGATATATGATTCCCAGTCATTTCTCCTATTCTGTGGGTTGTCTTCACATTCATGATAATTTCTCTTGAAGCACACAAGTTACTCATTTTGGTGAAGTTTAGTTTTTTTTTTTTTTTTTTTTTTGTTATTTGTGCTTTTGGTGCCATTACCTAAGAAATCATTGTCTAATGCAGGGTCATAAAGTTTTTTTTTAATAAAGATTTATTTACATATTTGAAAGACAGAGTTACAGGGAGCGAGAGAGAGAGAGAGAGAGAGAGAGCGCGCGCTAGCAAGCGAGCCATTTTCCATCTGCTTACCCACTCCCCAAATGACCACAACATACAGGTCTAGTCTGGGTGGAAGCTAGTATCCAGGAGCTTCTTTGGGGTCTCCCATGTGGGTGCAGGGACCCAGGGACTTTGGCCATCCACTGCGCTCTGAGGTGCATTAGCAGGGAACTAGGTTGGCAGCAGCTAGGTCTCGAACTGCTGTCCATATTTGATTTTGGCATCACAGGCAGCAGCTTTACCTGCTGTGCCACAGCCAAAACCAGAGACCTATCAACTGATTCAGTTCACACAATTCTGACAGAAAAAGAGCTTTCTACTCAATGAGTACCAACACTATTGCATCCAGATCAGCTACGTTCTTGTCCAAGAGTTTTATGGTTTTAGCTCTTAGATTTAGGTCTGTTACCTGTTTAATTTTTGCTATGTGTGAGGTAGGTATCCAGTTTATTCTTTGATGTGTGGCTGTTCAGTTATCCCAGTACCATTTGTTGAAGGGTTTTCTTTCTTCATTGTATGGTCTTGGTACCCTTGTTGGAAATCATATAAGTTTATTGATTTGTGTTTATGTTCGTAACACCAGTAACACAATCTTAACCACAATAGCTTTTTGGTAAATTTAGAAACCAGGAAGTGTGTTTATTCAAGCTTTCTTGCTATTTTTTTGATTGTTTTTGGCTATCTGCCTTCCCTGAGTTTTCACATACATTTTAGAGTTAATTTACACAAATGCAGGCTAGGATTTTGACACGGTTTGTGTTCAGTCTATGGATCTTTTTGGGGAAGATTGCTGCCTTAGTATGTGTGTTTTGCTTTGAGCATGGGATGTCTTTCCATTTATTTAAGTCTCTTTTACTTTCTTTCTTTCTTTTTTTTTTTTTTTTTTTATTTTTTGACAGGCAGAGTGGACAGTGAGAGAGAGAGACAGAGAGAGAAAGGTCTTCCTTTGCCGTTGGATCACCCTCCAATGGCCACCGCTGCAGCCGGCGCACCGCGCTGATCCGATGGCAGGAGCCAGGATCCAGGTGCTTTTCCTGGTCTCCCATGGGGTGCAGGGCCCAAGCACCTGGGCCATCCTCCACTGCACTCCCTGGCCATAGCAGAGAGCTGGCCTGGAAGAGGGGCAACCGGGACAGAATCCGGCACCCCAACCGGGACTAGAACCCGGTGTGCCGGCGCCGCAAGGTGGAGGATTAGCCTATTGAGCCACGGCGCCGGCTTCTTTTACTTTCTTTCATGCTTTGTACTTTTCAGTGTCTAGGTCTTGTACTTCTATTGTTAAATTTATTCCCAACAATTTTACTCTTTTTGATGTTACTGTAAATGGAATTGCTTTTTCAGTTTCATTTCATATTACTCAATGCTTTCAGATTTTTGTATCGTTAACTTGTATTTTGTATACCTTTTTTTTCTCTTTTTTTTTTTTTTTTTTTTTTACAGAGTGGACAGTGAGAGAGAGAAAGGTCTTCCTTTACCGTTGGTTCACCCTCCAATGGCCGCCACGGCCGGTGCGCTGCTGCCGGCGCACCGCACTGATCCAAAGCCAGGAGCTAGGTGCTTCTCCTGGTCTCCCATGAGGGTGCAGGGCCCAAGGACTTGGGCCATCCTCCACTGCACTCCTGGGCCACAGCAGAGAGCTGGCCTGGAAGAGGGGCAACCAGGACAGAATCTGGCGCCCCAACTGGGACTAGAACCCGGTGTGCTGGTGCTGCAGGCTGAGGATTAGCCTACTGAGCCATGGCGCCGGCCTTTTTTTCTCTTAACAATAGAAATCTACCTATCCAAATTCCTGCCTTCATGGCACTTACTTGTATGCTAGAAGTAAAAGAGACCAAAAATAAGATACATAAAATACAGTCCTAAGGGGGAAAAACAAATGAGGAAAGTGCCATGCAAAGTATTTGGAGGTGGAATGGATGAGGGGAAATTTTATTCAGCATGGCCAGAGAAAACTTCACTGGAATGTTAACTTGAGAAAAGAACTAAAGGAGATGAGAGAGCTAGCCCTGTGGATATATGGGGAAGAACATTGTATGTAGGTAGAGAGTGTATTAAATCTGGGAACCTTGAAATGCAGAAGTATATAATGTACATGAAATAAAATGAAATGGCCAGGGTGGTTTTAGAAAAGTAAATGATGGTAAATAAAGAATCAAGAGGGCACATATCATCTGATCGTTATAAGGAGTTTGATTTTTACCTTTGTGTGATGTAGGAAACCACTGGAAGTTTTTGAGCAAAGAAGTAAAAGGGTATGACTTATGTTTTGGCAACATCATTCTGATTTTGATACTGAATATAGACTGTAAGGGGAAAAGGGCAGAGAATCAGGAGACAAGTTAGTAGTAAAACAAGTAAGGTGACTGTGGGTTGGATGGAGTGATGATGGTGAGAATGGTAAGAAGTGGTTGAATTCTGGATATATATTGAAAATAAAGCCCTTAAATTTGGTAGTAGATTATGTGGAAATGTGAAGTAAAAGAGAAGTGAAAGTTGACACAGTGGTTTTGATCAGAGCAACTGAGAATGGAGTTCAATATATATTTTTAAATTATTGCATTAAATTTATGTGTTACATTACATGCCACATAACTGCAGACAGTTTTACCAAATAAATGTGGCAGAAAAGAAAGGAAGGAAAATGTTTTAAAATGTTAGAAATTAGGTTGTAATGGACATTTGTCCTGAAGTAAATCTGAGCTGGAAAACCATGAATCTGGTGTGTGTTCTATCAGTCTTTTTTTTTTCCTTTTCTTTTTTTAAAGACTGAGGGGCCGGTGCTGTGGCATAGCGGGTAAAGCTGCCACCTGCAGTGCTGACATCCCATATGGGTACCAGTTCAAGTCCCAACTCCTCCACTTTCTATCCAGCTCTCAGCTATGACATGGGAAAGCAGTAGAAGATGGCCCAAGTCCTTGGGCCCTTGCATCCACGTGGGAGCCCCAGAAGAAGTTCCTGGCTTCAGATCAGTGCAACTCTGGCTGTTGGGGCCATCTGGGGAGTGAACCAGTGGATGGAAGACCTCTCTGCCTCTCCTCCTCTCTCTGTGTAACTCTGACTTTCAAACAGATAAATAAATCTTAAAAAAAAAAAAAAAAAACTGATTGATTGATTTGAAAGTTAGAGATCTTCCATCTGCTGATTGACTCCCTAAATGGCCACATCGGCAAGGGCTGAGCGAGACTGAAGTCAGGAGCCAGGAGCTTCATCTAACTCTGCTGCTATGTGAGTGCAGGAGCCCAAGTACTTGGACTGTCTTCTGCTAATTTCCCAGGCGTATTATCAAGGAGCTGGATTGGAAGTAGAGCAGCCAGGACATAAACCAATACCCATCCAGGATGCCAGCATTGCAGGCAGTGGCTTTGCTTGCTAAAAAATCTTTTAAGAATATTTGGATGTTTACAGATAGCCTTATGTAATTGTTCATTTTTGTTGATTTCTTGCCTTTTTTTTTTTCCCTCAGGTATTTATTTATTTTAAATCAGAAGTAGAGAGGGAGGGGGGACAGAGAGCAAGTGAGCTTCCATCCACTGGTTTAATCCCTAGATGGTTGCAATGACCAGGGTTGAGCCAAGCTGAAGCTAAGATCCAGGAGCTTCATCTGGTCTCCCACATGGGTAGCAGGGGTCCAAACATTTGGGGCTATCTTCTTCTGCCTTTCCCAGGCCATTATCAGGGAGCTTTCTTGTTCTAGAACTATATATCCATTGAATTGCACAATATATCTTTGGCATCTTTTCATTTAGTTTTTGACGTTTATCCATTTTATATTAATCACTAATTTGTTTTTTAATACATTGTGACTGTACAACAGTTTATTCATTTTTTGGTGAACCTTTAGATTGTTTTCATATTTAGGCTGTTAAGAATAAAAGTATGCATGTCTTTGTGTGAACATATGTTTTCATTTTTCTAGGGTAAACATCTTAATTTCGAATTACTGGGTCACTTGGTAAGTTTATGCTTAAATGTATAAGGAACTGCTGAACTATTTTCCAAAAGGTTATTGCCATTTTTTATTCCCACCAGTATGTGTGAGAGTTATATAGTTCCTTCAAATCCTTTTCAGTGTTTGATACTCTCCAGTTTTGATTGTAAATGTTCTGATGATTGTGGTGATAGCTCCATTGCGTTTTTAAAAATGTTATATCTATAATATAAAGTTTACCATTTTAACCATTTCAGAGGCAGTTCAGAGACATAAAGTACATTTGCATTATTGTACAACTGTTTCCAAACTGAATGTATTCATTAAACAGTAACCACCCATTGCTTCCTCTGTAGTCCCTGATAATCACCATTCTACTTTCTGATCCTGTGAATTTAACTTCTAGGTACTTTCATACAATAGGAACCATGATATTTTGTATTTGGCTTATTTCATTAGCAGAGTATCATTAAAGTTCATCAGTGTTGTAGCATGGAACAGAATTTGTTTTTTTTAGGTTGAATAATGCTTCAAAATGTATGTGTATAACACATTTTGTTTTATCCATTTATTGATTTACATTTGAATTGTTTGCATTTTTGGCTGTATGAATAATAATACTATGAACTTTGGTGTAGAAATACCTACTTTGGCTTCTTTTGGTTATACATTTAGGTGCAGAATAGTTGGGTTGCATGGTAATTGTTTAATTTTTGAGGAACTGCTGTATTTTCTACAGTGGCTGCACCATTTTATATCACTACCAGCAGTGTATAAATAAAACTCCCCAGTTTTTCCAGGTAATCAATAAAATTTATTTTCTGGGGTTACGAAAGTAATTTGTCATCCTAGTGAGTATTAAGTGTCTTTATAGTTTTAATTTACATTTTCCTAATGACTAATATTATTAAGAAGTTTGCTTCTTTTGTAAGTGCTCAAATATTTTATGTGTTTTTCTTTTCAGAGTGTAAATCCTTTGTCAGATCTGTGTATTCTTTACTGGCTGCTTATTTATTTTAAAAAATTCTATTGCTTTTTTTGTTTTATTTGAAAGGAAGAGAGACAGACAAGAGATCTTCCCATCCCCAGTTCGTTCTGTAAATACCTGTAACAGCTAGGGCTGGTCCAGGCCAAAGCCAAGAGCTGGAATTCAGTTTGGATTCCCCACATTGGGTGCAGGGACCCAAGTACTTGAACCATTATCTTTTGCCTTATATCTTGTGTATTAGCAGGAAGCTGAAATCTAGGGGACAGGATATGTGTGTGCCAAGTGGTATCTTGACCACTAAATGGCCACCACTGCTTATTTTTTTTTTAACTTTTATTTAATGAATATAGATTTCCAAAGTACAGCTTATGGATTACATTGGCTCCCCCCCCCCCCATGACTTCCCTCCCGCCCACGACCCTCCCCTTTCTCGCTCTCTCCCCTTCCATTCATATCAAGATTCATTTTCAATTTTCTATATATACAGAAGATCAGTTTAGTATACATTAAGTAAAGATTTCAACAGTTTGCACCCACATAGAAACACAAAGTGAAAAATACTGTTTGAGCACCCACTGCTTATTTTATTAGGGAGGAGTGTTGAAATCTCTGATTTTTTTAAATAGCTGATTTTTTTGTTTAGTTGTAAAACATTTTGTTCAAATTATTGAGGTTTAATTTATATGCACGTGTTTTGATTTAAAAGCTTGGTCAAAAGGTATAACTTGTTTTAAGAGTTTTTCCTTTAATGAATTCAGTATAGTTCCTAGATAAAGTTCTAAGAATATAATGATATACCCTTCCTCCTTCCCTCTAACTCTGCTGTCCTTCATCCCTCTCCTTTTCTTTTTTTTTTCAGCTTTTGAGATATTTTAAATTTATATTACAGTAAAAAGGGTTTGATGCTTTGCCAAATAAGTTTAACAAGTAAAAACAAAAACACTGTAGTTTAGTAGCAATATAGACAATGGCTATAAACAATACTTGAATGAGAAAATGACCATTTCACCCATGTGGGATGCAGGTGCTGCAGGTGGCCCCTCCTTCTTTCTTATTGTTTCTGTTTAGATAATGTAGTTTATCTTGTTTTTCCATTTACTTCTATAATCTCTGCTTTTTAACTTGAATGTTTAGACCATTTATATTTATTGTAATTGCCAATATGGTTATGTTTAAGACTATTTCCCACTAACCTTACCAGTTCTTCCTTTGTAAATTCTTTTTTGCTTTCTTTTGGATTAATTGAGCAGATTTTTGAACTTTGTTTTTTCTCTGTTAACTTATTCTTCTGTAATTTTTCTCTAGTAGTCACAGTAGGATTTACACTATGCACTTTGATCTCAATTTATCTTCAAAATATAGTTCATCTTAGTTTATAATGTAAGAACATTAGTATATATCTCTTCCCTTCCTCTCCTTCCTTTTTTTTTTTGCTATTTTGGTCTTATTTTGTATTTCCATATGTTACAAATTATACAGTAGATTTTATAAGTTTCTTTGAAGTTTGTTTTTAATTGAGGGCAGAGTTGGGAAGAAAGGAAGTGAATTTCCACCTATGGTTCACTCCCCATATGTTCACGATAGCTAGGGCTGGGCCAGGCCTAAGCCAGGAGGCAGGAGCTCCATCTGGGTCTCCCAAGTGACAGAAATCTGAATGGTTGAGCCATTATCTGCCTCCTGGGGTGCTCCAAAATAGGAAACCAACATCCAAGACAGCATCCTAATGCGCTGCAGTTGCACCACAATGCCTTTTAATTGTTTTAGAAGTAATGATAAAAACTAGCAGTAACATTTTTCTATTTACCTTCATATTTACCATTTTAATTTTCCCCCTTTTTTGTAGATTCCTGCTTATAGATCCAAGTTTCCTTCTACTGATACTTCAAATTCTTCTACTTAAAGAACTTTCTTTAGTTCTTTTTAAATCTTTTTTTAAAATTTATTTTCATTTTTGTCTGAAAGGAAGAGTGAGACAAGCAGATCTTCCACCTGCTGGTTCACTCCCCAAGTGCCTGCAACAGTCAGGATCCCAGAACTCCATCTGGATCTCCCATATTGGTGGCAGGGACCTAAGTACTTGAGCTATCATCTATGATTCCTAGGGTGCACATTCACAGGAAGCTGATTAGAAGCAGAACAGTGGGAACTCAAGCCAGGCACTCTGATATGGAATGTGGGTGTCCCAAATGACAACCTTATGTCTTTAGTATTTCTTCTTCTTCTTCCTCTTCTTCTTCTTCTTCTTTTTTTTTTTTTTTTTTTTTTTTTTTTTTAAGTTTATTTCAGAGAGACATAGAGGTCCTCTATGCTGATTCATTCCTCAAATGGCCGCAGTGGCTGGAGCTGGGCTGATCCAAAGCCAGGAGCCTGGAGCTTCTAACAGGTCTCCCATGTGGGCATAGGGTCCCAAGGACTTGGGCCATCTTCTGCTGCTTTCTCAGGGCATAGCAGAGAGCTTGATTAGAAGTGTAGCAGCTGGGACTTGAACTGGCGCCCATATGGAATGCTGGCACTGCAGGCGGTGGCCTTATCCGCTATGCCACAGTGCTGTTCCCCTTCTTGAGTATTTCTAAAGTGTAGTTATATTAGGCATAAAAAATTCTGACTATTTATATGGAAATATTTTCATTTTACACATCAACATTTTAGCATGAAAATTTTCAAGTTTACAGACTTTAAAATAGTTAAAATAATTGTAAAATGTAATACCATAACATTTTGTTTGCTTGTCTCATATCTGTTAATCTGACCACCTACTGTATTTCTTAATTTGTCTTATTTTTTGATACTCATTGTAAGTTGCAGATGTTTATATGACACACCATTAACTTCAGCGTTTATATTAACACAAACTTAGTAATTTAGTATTATTAATTAGAATGTAGTATACTATTCCAGTGTTTAATGCTGTATAACGAATCATCCCAAATGTAGTGCCTTAAACATAATTTATTTTGCTTATGAATCTCTTAATTTGAGCTGGGAATGGCAGAGTTGATATCTTGGCTTTAATTTAGCATGTCAGCTGGGCTGACTTGATGCCTGGAAGGTAGAATCATCTGAAGACTTGCTCATTCACACATCTAGAGATTGATACAGATCGTCAGGAATTTAGCTGGAGCTGTGATCTAAGAGCTGTGTTCTAGAATAGTTAAATGTAGCTTCTGCATATGACTCCTTGGCTTCTGTGCTACATGGCTGCCTTTGCAGCATGATGACTGGATTCCGAGAGTGAGGATCTTTTAAAGAGCAAGGCATAAAAGCATGGCATTTTTATGATTTTGCCTCAAAAGTCACAGAACATATACTTCTGTACTTTTTGGTCAAAAGGGTCAAAAACACCATTTAGCTTCAAGAAGTGTCATAGGCTCCACCTCTTGATGCAAGAATGCCACTATTGCGTTGTTAAGAAGAGCATGTGGGATGGGTGTTGTTAGGATGGCCATCTTGGAAAATAATAATTAGCCTGCTGCATTACTATTCCATGAGTTTTGATAAAGTCATACACTTTTGCAACAAAGTCCTAACAAGTATAGAACCCACACCCCTGCCTTCCTTATTGTTCCTCCTCACCCCCCCACCACCATTTTTCTGTTTTCATCATAGTTTAGCCTGCTCCAGAACTTCATGTAAAGAGTATCTTTCATTACTTATGATTTATACAATGTTGTTTTTACCTTGAATGATGTTTTTGAGATTCATCCCTGTTTTTGCAGGTTTCAGTTGATTTTTAACTTTAATTCTATTAAAGGACACTTGGCCTGTTTTCTGTTCTAAACTGTTTTCAGTTCCTAGCTGTTAGGAATAAAGCTACAGTGAAAGTTTGTGTGAAAATCTCTTTGTGGCCATATATTGGTTTTGCTTTCTTTTAGGTGAACAGCGTAGAGTGTAGGTATTTTTTACAGACTCATTTTATAATTAAATGCCAAGTCTTTCCACTAAATTGGTTTTAATTTATATTCCTGTGAACAATTTGTGAGAACGCCAACTGCTTTACATCTTTGTCCACATTTGAGATGGTCAGTCTTTCTGAGGTAGTATTCTGATGCATGTACAGTGATTTTTCTTCATTTTGTGGAATATATTTTCATTTGATAATATATAATTGTAGGTTGGTATATTTTTCTTTGTTTGTGATAAGATTGTGATTATATTTTTTTCTCCCCTCAGACTTAGTTTTTTTCTTTGACTTAAGATTTTTTCTTTATCACTATTTTTCTTTGTGATCATTCAGTTGAGAGTTTTGAGATGGTTGGTTGGTTGGTTGACTGACTGCTTTTAGATCTGTACATTTATAGTTTTTATCAAATTTGGAAAATCAAAACCCATTATTCTATGTATTTTAACCACCTCTTCTCCCTACCATTTCCTTTTTTCCTGTGATTCTGTTCATTACTTTTCTGTTTATGTTGTATGACTTATTTTCCTTTTGACTTGCATTGTTAGTAATTTTTTATGGGATGGTGAGCATTGTAATATTTTGTTTTGGAATGACTGGATTTTGTTTTCTTTGACAGTGTTGAGCGATGTTTTGGCATCCAGGTAAATAACTTGTTGATTAGTTTGATCTGTTCCAGGCTTCATTACAGTGTATCTAGAGAAGGCTTTATTTTAAGGATACTAAGTTCTAAAGTGTGACCCTTATTAATCCTCTCAGTTTGAATGTGTTCTCTTCACTCTGTTTGGAGAGAATTTAGGAATCTCCCAGTTCTTTTAAGCACTGGGAGTATTTAATTCCTTAGCTCCTCTTTTCTCCAGTTTCACCGAGTTTATCGCCTTACTTGTGAACAGTTAGTATGCAGCAAAGGCCTCCCAAGGATGGATTTCTGGATTCTTTTCTCCACATAGTTTTCATCCTCTTTGGCACTCTGTCTTCAGCTCCAGAACTCTGATCTCTTGATTCTCACCTTAGTGAGACTGCTGGCTTCTGATTCTCCTCCATTGACTGCAGGTTGGGAAGTGCCTGTAGAACATACTTAGGGTTTGGTTCCTGGTGCCCCACCCCCCTTTTTCTTTTCTCCTTTCATGGATCCCATTGATGTACTGTTAATCTAGTATTTGAAAATTCTTGCTTTTCACAGGAAGCAACTGGTATGTTTGCTTGAATCATTTTTTGCACTTTCTGTTCTACTTGTGTGCTTTTCTAGTATTCTGTCTGGATTTTTCTCTTTGAATCCTTTTTGATTATAATGTGGTATTTGTTGAATTTTTACGCTGAACACTTGTTTAGCCAGTCTTCAGAAAAAGAGTAGCAGCTCCTCTGAATTGCCCTCAAGTGTGATATCTTGACTTTAATAGCGTAATTTTTCCTGGCTTTATACTGTTTGTGACTAGACTCTGTCACATTCATTGTAGTTTGACTTAGAATGTTTTTGACTTTACAGTGGTACAAAAGCCATATATACAGGATAGAAACTGTACTTTGAATTTTTATCTTCTCCTGGGTTAGCAGTGTATGTGATTCAGCAGCAGCAGCAGCAGCAGCAGCAGCAGCAACAGGATTCAGTTCCTTGTCAGGCATACAGACATGAGAGTGAATGACTGATAATCTAGTCTACAGTAGTCTTTCCTTAACTATGATTTCATTTTCCTTAAATTACCCGTGATCAACCACAATCTGAAATATTAAGTAGAGAGCTAGAAAGACAAATAATTTTTTAATTTAAAAATTGCTATTCTGAGGCCTGCGCTGTGGCTTACTTGGCTAATCCTCTGCCTGCGGCGCCGACACCCTGGGTTCTGTCCCGGTTGTTCCTCTTCCAGTCCAACTCTCTGCTGTGGCCTGGGAAGGCAGTGGAGGATGGCCCAAGTCCTTGGGCCCTGCACCCACATGGGAGATCAGGAGGAATCACCTGGCTCCTGGCTTTTGGCGCGGTATGCCGGCCGTAGGGGCCATTTTGGAGTGAACCAACAGAAGGAAGACCTCTCTGTCTGTCTGTCTCTCTCTCTGTCACTAACTGCCTGTCAAAAAAAAATTGCTATTCTGAGCAAAATGATCAAATTTCCTGCTGTCCTCCATCTGACTGGGAGATGAATCATAACTCTGTTCAGAGTACCCATTCTGTGTAGTCTACCTCATCATTAATCAGTAACTCTCTAGGTTACCATAAGGACTCACATTTATGGCAGTGCTTTTAAATTCAGGTTGCCCTTGTTTTACTTAATAATGGACCCAAAGTGCAAGAGTAAGGATACTGGCAATCTGAATAAATGAGAAGCTTTGAAGTGCTTCCTTTAAGTATCCTCTCAAATCATCATGTGAAGGGTGAATGCATTAAAACAAAATACTCAGAGACCACATTTATGTAACAACAATATAGTGTTAGAATTATTGTTTTACTGTTGTTGATAATTTCTTACTGTGCCTAATTTATTAACTAAGCTTTGTTATAGGTATGTATAGCTAGGAAAAAACAATTTACTTGTAAGTAGGTTTCAGTACTCTCTGTACACTTTATTGGGGGTGTGTCTTAGAATATCTCCTTCATAGACGAGGGGTTCTACTATCCTTTGTTGCTAAGCTGTAATGTTTGGTAGGTTCAATCTATTAAATGTGTTGTAGACTTATATTTTCCAGTTATAATGGATTTATTTGGTTTAACCCCATCATGATTGAGGGGTCATATGTGATTGTGTCTGGCATTTTTTATTTAGCATATTTGTGAGATTGCACCCACATTGTTGACTGTAGTAATTGATTGTTTATGTGTGTTAATGTTAGTACTCTGTTTTAGTAATATACCACAGTTATGTTGATGGATATTTTAGTCATTTTTTGTGGCTATTAAAGAACATTGCCATTCTAAACATTCCAGTGAATGTTTTCTTGTGAACATATGTACTCGTTCTGTTTGATGTATACTGAGGGATGGAAATTTTAAGTCATAGAATATACTTATATTTAGTGTATATAATTGCTGTCAGAGATATTTGAAGGAGGTATATTTTTATTATGTTTATTGTGTTATGCACTAATGATAGAGCAGACTGGGAGAAAAGAACATTATTTTTCTATTAGAAACAAGATTTTGATTATTCTAACACATTATTTTCTGAAATAAACATTTGTTAAGTAGGCATTTGTGTTACTTGCGAAAATCATCTTTTTTATTTATTATTTATTTTTTTATTTTTATTTTTTGACAGGCAGAGTGGACAGTGAGAGAGAGAGAGAGACAGAAAAAAGGTCTTCCTTTGCCGTTGGTTCACCCTCCAATGACCGCCGTGGCTGGTGCGCTGCAGCCGGCGCACCACGCTGATCCGATGGCTGGAGCCAGGTACTTATCCTGGTCTCCCATGGGGTGCAGGGCCCAAGCACTTGGGCCATTTTCCACTGCACTCCCTGGCCATAGCAGAGAGCTGGCCTGGAAGAGGGGCAACCGGGACAGAATCCGGCGCCCCGACTGGGACTAGAACCCGGTGTGCCGGCGCCGCAAGGCAGAGGATTAGCCTAGTGAGCCGTGGCACCGGCCTCTTTTTTTAAAATCTGTATAACATATTCATATTTGGAACTCTGTCTCAGGATCTTTTATTAGGTCATGGATCCTGATTCTTTTTTTTTTTTTTTTTTTTGGTAGGGGAGGGGAGAGAAAAAAAAAAAAAAACAAAAAGAAAAACTGTTCCTCAGCAGTCAAGACAAGGGCTCTTGAAAGTCATTCAGCATCATTCTTTCTGTATCTGAGTGAATGTCTCAGATTTTGATTCATCTCGCATTGAATCTGTAAATTGCTTTTGGGAAAATGGACATTTTCTGATATTGATTCTTCCAATCCATGAACATGGAAGAGTTTTCCATGTTTTTGGTATCTTCTATTTCTTTTCTTTTCTTTTTTTTTTTAGAACAGCAATGGCTTAAAAAATAATATATTACTTTTGAAATTTTTTAAACTTTTATTTAGTGAATATAAATTTCCAAAGTACAGTTTATGAATTACAATGGCTTCCCCCCCATAACTTCCCTCCCACCCGCACCCCTCCCATCTTCCACTCCCTCTCCCATTCCATTCACATCAAGATTCATTTTCAATTCTTTTTATATACAGAAGATCGATTTAGTATATATTAAGTAAAGATTTCATCAGTTCGCACCCACACAGAAACACAAAGTGTAAAATACTGTTTAAGTGCTAGTTATAGCATTACTTCACATTGGACAACACACTAAGGACAGATCCCACATGAGAAGTAAGTACACAGTGACTCCTGTTGTTGACTTAACAATTTGACGTTCTTGTTTATGGCGTCAGTAATCTCCCTAGGCTCTAGTCATGAGTTGCCAAGGCTATGGAAGCCTTTTGAGTTTGCCAGCTTCGATGTTATTCAGACAGGGTCATAGTCAAAGTGGAAGTTCTCTCCTCCCTTCAGAGAAAGGTACCTCCTTCTTTGATGGCCTGTTCTTTGCACTGGGATCTCACTCGCAGAGATCTTTCATTTAGGTGTTTGTGTTTTTGTGGTTTGTTTTTGTTTTTTTTTTTTTTTGCCAGAGTGTCTTGGCTTTCCATTCCTAAAATACTCTTATGGGCTCTTCAGCCAGATAAGAATGCCTTAAGGGCTGATTCTGAGGCCAGAGTGCTGTTTAGGACATCTGCCATTCTATGAGTCTGCTGTGTATCCCGCTTCCTATGATGGATCGTTCTCTCCCTTTTTGATTCTATCAGTTAGTATTAGCAGACGCTAGTCTTGTTTGTGTGATCCCTTTGAATCTTAGACCTATTAGTAAGATCCATTGTGAACTGAAATTGATCACTTGGACTAGTGAGATGGCTTTGGTACATGCAACCTTGATGGGATTTTATTGGAATCCTCTGGCACATTTCTAACTCCACCATTTGGGGCAAGTCCGATTGAGCATGTCCCAAACTGTACATCTCTTCCCTCTCTTATTCCCACTCTTATATTTAACAGGGATCACTTTTCAGTTAAATTTAAACACCTAAGAATAATTGTGTGTTAATTACAGAGTTCAACCAATAGTACTAGAACAAAAAAAAAATACTAGAAGGTATGTTCTGTTTCTTCTTTAATGTATTTTAATTCTCATCTTAGAGCTCTTGACATCCTTGTTTAAATTTATTCCATGGTATTTGGTTTTTTGGGTAGCTATTGTGAATGGTATTGATCTTAGAAGCTGTTACTCTGCTGTGGCATTGCCTGTGTATACAAAGACTGTGTTGAATTTTGTGTGTTGATTTTTATATCTGGCTACTTTACGAAACTCTTCTATGAGTTCCAATAGTCTCTTGGTGGAGTCTTTTGGATCCCCTATATATAGAATTATGTCATCTGGAAATAAGGTAGTTTGATTTCCTCCTTTCCAATTTGTTTACCTTTGATTTTTTTTTTTTTTTTTTTTTTTACCTAATAGCTCTGGCTAAAATTTCCAGGACTACTGAATAGCGATGGTGAAGGGCCGGCGCCATTGCTCACTTGGTTAATCCTCTGCTTGTGGCACTGGCATCCCATATGGGCACCGGGTTTTAGTCCCAGTTTCTCCTCTTCCAGTCCAGCTCTCTGCTGTGGCCCGGGAGGGCAGTGGAGGACGGCTCAGGTCCTTGGGCACCTGCACCCGCATAGGAGACCAGGATGAAGCAGCTGGCTCCTGGCTTCGAATTGGTGCAGTGCTGGCTGTGGCGGCCATTTGGAGAGTGAACCAATGGAAGGATGACCTTTTTCTCTGTCTCTCTCAGTCTATAATTCTACCTGTCAAATAATTAAAAAAAAAAAAATAGTTGTGGTGAGTGAGGGCATCCTTGTTTGGTTCTAGATGTCAGCGGGAATGCTTCCAACTTTTCCCCATTCAGTATGATTCTGACCGTGGATTTGTTATAAATTGCATTGATTGTGTTGAGGAGTGTTCCTTCTATACCCAATTTGCTTAGAGTTTTCATGTTGTATTTTATTATGCTTTCTCAGCATCTATTGAGAAAAGCATATAGTTTTTGTTCAATAGTTTGTTAATGTGGTGTAGCACATTGATTTGAGAATATTGAACATTATCTACATAGCAGGGATAAATCACACTTGTTCTGGGTGGATGATCTTTCTGAAGTTCTGTTGGATTCGATTGGCTAGAATTTTGTTGAGTTTTGCATCTATATTTGTCAGGGAAATTGGTCTGTAATTCTTTTTCTTTGTTGCATCTTTTTCAGGTTTAGGAATTAAGGTGATGCTGGCTTCATAGAAAGAATTTGGGAGGATTCCCTCCCTTTCAGTTTTTTTGAATAGCTTGAGAAGAATTGGAATTTGTTATTCATTAAATGTCTGGTAGAATTCAGCGATGAATCCATCTGGTGCTGTGCTTTTCTTTGTTGGGCAGATGTTTCTGTCTTTGTTATGGTTCTGTTTAGGTTTTCTGTGTTTTCATGGCTTAATTTAGGTAGGTTGTATGTGTTCAGGAATCTGTTCATTTCTTACAGGTTTCCCAGTTTGTTGGAATACAGTTTTTGTAGTAATTTCTGATGATTCTTTTAATTTCTGTGTTGTCTGTTGTTACATTTCCTTTTTCATTTCTAATTTTATTAATTTGGGTCTTTCCTTTTTTTGATTAGTTGGGCAATTGTGTGTCAGTTGTGTGTATTTTTTCAAAAAACCAGACTATGACCCTGTCTGAATAACATCGAAGCTGGCAAACTCAAAAGGCTTCCATAGCCTTGGCAACTCATGACTAGAGCCTAGGGAGATTACTGACGCCATAAACAAGAACGTCAAATTGTTATTTCAGCTTCATTGATTTCTTCTCTAATTTTAATTATTTCTTTTCTCCTAGTTTTTGGTTGGGTTTGCTGATGTTTTTCTAGATACTTGAGATTCATTGATAGTTCATTTATTTGGTCCCGTTCCAGTTTCTTGATGTAGGCACCAATTGCTATAAACTTTCCTCTTAACACTATTTTTACTGTATCCCATAGGTTTTTTTTTTTTTAAAGTATTCATTGGATTTTTTTTTTTTTAATAAGATTTATTTATTTGAAAGAGAGGGGGGGGGGGTCCTGCATCCGCTGGTTCACTTCCCAACTGGCCACAATGGATGGAGCTGCGCCGTTCTAAAGCCAAGAGCCTCTTCTGGGTCTCCCACGAGTCAATGGCCCAAGGACTTGAGCCAACTCCATTGCTTTCCTAAGCTGTAGCACAGAGCCAGATCAGAAGTGGAGTAGCCAGGACTCGAACCGGCGCCCATATGGGATGCTGGCACTTCAGGTGGCAGCCCTGCCCACTGTGCCACAATGCTGCCCCCAACCCCACAAGTGTTGATATGTTGAATTGTCATCTTCATTTGTTTCCAGCAATTTTTTGATTTCTTTTTTTTTAAAGATTTATTTATTTGAAATTATTACACACAGAGAGGAGGAGAAGCAAAGAGAGAGAAAGAAAAAAAAAGAGAGGTCATCTGTCCGCTGGTTCACTCCCCAATTGGCCGCAACGACTGGAGCTATGCCCATCCAAATCCAGGAGCCAGGAGTTTCTTCCGAGTTGTCCATGTGGGTACAGGGACCCAGGGACTTGGGCCATCTTATACTGCTTTCACAGGCCATAGCAGAGAGCTGGATCAGAAGTAGAACACCTGGGACTTGAACCAGCGCCCATATGGGATGTTGGCACTGCAGGTGGCGGATTTTCCTGCCACAGCGACAGCCCCGATTGATTTCTCTTTTGATTTCTTCAGTGACCCAGTGTTCATTCAGGAGCATGTTGTTTAGTCTCCATGTGTTTGCATATGTTCTAGAGATTCCTGAGTTGCTGATTTCTAGCTTCATTCCATCATGGTCTGAGAAGATGCATGATATATTTTGAGTTTTTTGAATTTGCTGACACTTGCTTTTTGATCCAACATGTGGTTAATCCTAGAGAAGGTTCTGTGCACTGCTGAGGAGAATATATATTCCACAGCTGTAGCATGGTAAGTTTTGTAGATATCTGTTAGGTTTGTTTGGTCAATAGTGCTGATTAATTCTGTTGTTTCCTTGCTGATTTTCTGTCTGGTAGATCTGTGCACTTCTGAAAGTGGGGTATTGAAGTCCTCTATTACTATTGTATTTGAGTCTATGTCTCCCTTTAGCCCCATTAACATTTCTTTTAAATAGCCAGATGCCCTTCAATTAAGTGAATATACATTTAGAATAGTTACATCTTCTCCTTGAATTGATCCCTTAATCATTACATAGTGCTCTCATTGTTGCTGTGAGTCTAATTGGAGATGTTCTGATAGTAATCTGGCAATTCTCTGATGCACATTTTAGAATCTTTGTTTTACTGTGGAAAGTTTGAATACAATGTGTCATGGTGAAGATCTTTTCTGGTCTTGTCTATTAGGGGTTCTGTGTGCTTCCTGTACTTGGATATCCCTTTATTTCTACAAATTAGGTAAGTTTTCTGTTATTATTTCACTTAAAAGTCCTTCTATCATTTGTTTCTTTCTATGCCTTCAGGAATTCCTAGAACCCGTGTGTTTGGTCATTTGATGATATCCTGTGGATTCCCAACAGTGTTTTTTAGTTTTCTAATTTCTTCTTGTTTTTGTTCTGAGTGAATAATTTCCTGCGATTTGTCTTCTAATTTGGATATTCTTCTGATTCTGTTGTTAAGGCTTTCCACTGTGTTTATTTGTTCTATTGAATTCTTCATTTCCAAGATTTCATTTTGATTTAAGAACTCAATTTCATGGGAGAAATTTTTTTGTCATGTAAGGATTTTACTAGTTCGTGCATTTTCTTCTGATTACTTCTAAGTAATCCTGTGATCAATTTTTTGAATTCTATTTCTGGTATTTCTTCAGTCTTTTCATCTTCACAATCTGGTATTGAAGTGTTTTATTCTTTTGCGGGCATCATGTTGTGTTCCTTAGTGTTTCTTGAATCAGTGTGTTCATTGTGCGGCATTTGTGCAGATACTTTTTGATTTCTTTGAATTTTCTCTGCTGTGGCTTTTATCTTTGGATTATACCTCTGTGGATTAGTGTAGTTTCTATTTTTTCAGTGAATACCTAGAGGCCTATGGTGGGTGTGGCCAGGGAGCTTTGTTGGAACTCTAGGGTGAAGGGAGTTTCCAAGGTGACATCTAGGTTGAGTGTGGTTAAGTCAGTCAGTCTCTCTCTTTTTTTAATTAGAAGAGTGGTTTGTTCTGCTCTGTTGGCGTAGACTCAGCTTACCCCCTCTCCTCAAAGAAGACCAGTTCCTTGGGCTATAATATTTGTCCACGCTGCCACAAGGATCACACAAAGGATCTGTATAGTCCTTGGTCTAAGCACAGATTCCCCAGCAGAGTCCCTCACCAGGGAACTGGGGAGCCCTGAACATGTGGAGGCTCCCACAGTGACTGCCCAAAGTTCCAGCCGCACCCAGAACCCTCCTACACATCCTCAGTGTTTTCACAGTCCCAGCAAAAAAAGCCTCCTACAGTCACAAGCACCCAGCCCCCTATCAGTTCTCCCCACCAAACCCTGGAGTCTCCGCCTGGCCAGGCAAGGACAGAAGCTGGTGCAGCTGTTAATGTATGTCCAAAATGGCACCTGCTGTTTATTAGCTTGTTACAGGGATGTCGTTGAAGGGTGTATGGGGAGAGAGAACCGTGCACATCTCCCCGTCCCCTCTCCTCCCGCCTTTTTTTTTTTTTTTTTTTCCCCTCCTCTAGTTTGCCAGGTACACTATCCTCCACAGAGCTCCAAGCCAGATTCCCTCCAGGCTCTTCCTGCAGCTTTATTGCCAGTGACTTGGGCTGCCAGGGTCTGGTCTTACCTCACTATTTTAGAGTTGGTGAGGATGCTCTTGGCTGCTGTGGTCCTGAGTTGTGCACGTCCTCGTCCTCCACGTAGGTCCACTGTGTCCCTCTAATTTGTGTGGAGTTTCCTCTGCTGTTTTCTCCCGAACTTCCCAGAGACTGCATTCTCTCCTTTTTTTTTTTTTTTTTTTTTCCTTTTTAAACTATCTTCTCCTAGACTAGAGCAGTAAGCTCCCTCCCTACTTCACCATCTTAATCCAGTCTCAAAGAGTAGGGTTTCAACACTACATGGTAGATGACTTTGGAGTAAGGGTTGCAAAAGTCACAGAAGTATTAGTATCTTAATAAGCCAAAGTATTGAAATCAGAATACAGATAACCAGTAATTCAGCGACAGTACTAGGTTTGTGTCTGAATGTTGGTGGATCATGTAATGTCTCCCAAACTGAGAAGAAATCCTGCGTCTGAAGAATGAAGAAAGAAACTCTACAAGAATAAAAGGGTTTATTGGGGCACCTTACATGCTAGTTTCCATGTTGGGGCAGAACAGCAGTATGGGCAAAACTACAGCAAAGATTTCTGCACAGGGGTACAGAGAGGGGCTAGATTTTACATATTTACAAGTCAGATGGGGCCGGCGCCGCGGCTCACTAGGCTAATCCTCCGCCTTGCAGCGCCGGCACACCGGGTTCTAGTCCCGGTCGGGGCACCGGATTCTGTCCCGGTTGCCCTTCTTGCAGGCCAGCTCTCTGCTGTGGCCAGGGAGTGCAGTGGAGGATGGCCCAAGTGCTTGGGCCCTGCACTAGGATAAGCACCTGGCTCCTGCCATCAGATCAGCGCGGTGCGCCGGCCATTGGAGGGTGAACCAACGGCAAAAAGAAGACCTTTCTCTCTGTCTCTCTCTCACTGTCCACTCTGCCTGTCAAAAAACAAACAAACAAAAAAAACAACACACAAGTCAGATGGGATTGTCTAGAATCTGTGTTACATTTCTTTATGTATGCTTTTAGTAGTTTGTCTCTAAGGCATCCTGCTGGTCTTTCCCACCTTATCAGAAAACTTGTGATAGGAGCTGGAGTTGTGGTGCCACCTGCAATGCCAGCATCCCATACAGGTACTGGTTCAAGTCTTGGCTGCTCCATTTCCAATTCAGCTCCCTGCTAATGCACCTGGAAAAACAGCAGAAGATGTTTCAAGTCTTTGTGCACCCATGTATACCTGTACTGCACCCATGTAGGAGATAGGATGAAGCTTCTGACTTCTGTCTGACCTAACCCTGGCTGTTGTAGTTATCTGGGATGGAGGATATTTCTCTCTCTGTCTCTGTCTCTGTAACTGCCTTTCAAATAAATAAATCTTAAATAAGACTTGTGATAGCACTTAATTTTTTGATGAGTCCTGTTACTTTGGTGGGAATTCAGCATCCTCCTGTGAGACAGAGGTTAAAATGGAGGTCTGAGACTCAAGATGGCTTTACTGATTTGTTGTCACCATGTTGTTCATGTTGGTAATGTCATTTGAGTAATGCTTAGATGAATGATGCCCATGTGGCCAGGGCTTTAAGTAATAATGTATGAAGGGGTTTGAAATTTGTTGTATTGGTGTTGGGAAGGCATAGAAGCTTTTGAATATAGTTACAGGACCAAATTATATTTTTTCAGGAAGATAATCCTTTTTATTATTCTAATAACTAATAATATTTGGATAAAGGCAAAAGGGAAAACCAGATAGAGGTGCTCTGCTCTGTATGACTGCTGGTAAGCATAGGAAAAGAAGCAGAGGCCGGTGCCACGGCTCACTAGGCTAATCCTCCGCCTTGCGGCGCCGGCACACCGGGTTCTAGTCCCGGTTGGGGCGCCGGATTCTGTCCCGGTTGCCCCTCTTCCAGGCCAGCTCTCTGCTGTGGCCAGGGAGTGCAGTGGAGGATGGCCCAAGTGCTTGGGCCCTGCACCCCATGGGAGACCAGGAGAAGTACCTGGCTCCTGCCATTGGATCAGCGCGGTGCGCTGGCCACGGCGGCCATTGGAGGGTGAACCAACGGCAAAGGAAGACCTTTCTCTCTGTCTCTCTCTCACTGTCCACTCTGCCTGTCAAAAAAAAAAAAAAAAAAAAAGAGAGAGAGAGAGAGAGATACCTCAAAGATAAAATTCTGTGAGTTATAAATTAGAAGTAAAAGGGAATGAGCATGGCCTTCAGAAGCACACACATTCGGGTTTGAATCTTTCTTTCTTTCTTTCTGTCTGTGTGTGTGTCTGTCTTTTCTTTCTGTCTTTCTTTATTAAAGATTCATTTGATAGGTAGAGTGACACAAAAAGAACATACTGGTTCACTCACTGAATGGCCACAATGGCCAGAGCTGGACAGGCTAAAGCCAGGCCCAAAACACCATCCAGGTTTCCCATGTGCATGGCATTTACTAGTTAAAGGACAGGAAGCAGGTCACCTCAATGTCACCTCAAAGATCTTTTGGCAAGATCTGTCTTATTTATTTGAAAGGCAGTGTGACAGGGAGATAGAGAGAACTAGAAAGAGATCCTCCATCTGGGGGTTAATTCCTCAAATGTCTACAGTGTTTGGGCCTGGGACAGGCCAAAGCCAGGAACTTCATCTTGGTCTGCTATGTGGGTGACAGGGACCCAAGTACTTGGGCATTTTTTTTCCCAACCACATTAGCAGGGGGACTTGAACCGGCACTCCCATATGGGATAGCAGCAGTGTAGGCAGTGGCCTACACAGTGCTGGCCCCTCAAAATTTCTTCCTTGGTATGATGTTTATTCTTTGAACATTTTCTTTCCTTTTTTAAGATTGATTTATTTATTTGAAAGAGTTACAGAAAAGGCAGAGAGGGAGGGAGGGAGGTCTTCCATCCGCTGGTTCACTCCCCAGTTGGCCGCAATGGCCAGAGCTGCACCTGATCAGGAGCCAGGAGCTTCCTCCAGGTCTCCCACGTGGGTGCATGGGCCCAAGGACTTGGGCCATTTTCCACTGCCTTCCCAGGCCACGGCAGAGAGCTGGATTGGAGGAGGAGCAGTCAGGACTAGAACCAGTGCCCATATGGGATTCCGGCGCCTCAGGACAGGGCATTAACCCGCTGCGCCACAGCGCCGGCCCCTATATGAGGTGCCAGGTTCTGCAGGTGGAGAATGCACCTACTGCGCCACGGCACGGGTCCCCTGAAAATTTTCAGACAGTGCAAGTGTAAAATATTTCTCAAAGTTCTATACTAGAAGAAGTTACTATGAATGGGAAGGTTTGGCTAACTTGTGTTTATTTTGATGAGATAAGGAGATTTGACTTTATCATAGAAACAACTGAAAAAACTGTCAAGAAAAACTAGGGATGGTGTAGAAATTTGGGTTGAGTTCCTGTGGTAGTATTGGTAACACTTGGTGAACAGTTTGTACTGAAAAATATGACTTTTCTGATTTGAATCACTGGACTAATAATGCTATCATTTTCTCACAGGATTTACTTTGTGTGTCTGCCCGTCCCCAAGGAAGAGTATCTTCCCCTCGCCCCCAAACTGTTAGGACTCTTTTATAAATGCATATTTACAAACCTTGTTTTTTTCATTAACAACACTTAACTACATATTGTAGTTATGATTTATTGTGGTTTCTATTATTTGTGCCCACCTCCTCCACCCTCCACTACCATCACATAAAGAGAAGATTGTTTAGTTTCTTTACTACTTCATTTTCATCTACCCTAATAAGCATTCAAAATCTACTTGACAGATTTTGAATGGATAACTTTTAAGAATTTGAAAACTGATGAGTAATGGTTAGACTAAATAAAAATGACGAGAAATACAAAAGTTGGTACCCTTTTTGTTTTTAAGATTTATCTGTCTATTTTGAAAGTCAAGAGAAGATCTTCCACCTGCTGGTTTACTGCATAGATGGCTGCAAAGGCCCACACTGGGCCAGGCCAAAGCCAGGGTCTCATCTGGTCTCCTACTTGGGTGGCAGGGGCTCAGACACTTGGGCCATCTTTTTGCTGCATTTCCCAGCCTATTAACAGGGAGCTGGGTTGGAAATGAAGCAGCTGGGACATGACCCACGCCCATGTGGGATGCCGGTATTATAGGGGTGGCTTTACCACCTATACCAAAATGCTGTCCTGGGCACCAAATATTTAATTATAGCTAGGAGGACAGTAAGATTAGGAATATATAGAGTGCATAAGTATTTGGGAAATGAATCTGATTTTAGATATACTGGCATTAAGTGCTAATTATACTTTGAGTAGTTGTATACCATTTGTAATTGGGAGTTATAGACTTATCACTTAAGAGATAAAGATTTAAAGATGTAGACCTAGAGGTCTTCAGTATAAGATGCTATGGGAGTGGATGACACTGCACTGATACTTGATTTAGAAAAGATAATTGGTTTTAGAAAAATGACTGTTGATAGAAACTTGGAGAATGGCCAGTGAAGGGTGTGAAGATGAACTAGTGGAAAATCTACTTGTTTTTAGGTAAAGGAGCATGGGTAGGTACAGCATTAGGGAAGCTGGGGAAAGTAAGGAGTGATTGAGTGATAATGATGCTACAGAAATTAAATAGGACTAAGGAATCACAGCATGTGGAATATACAAGAATGATGATGACTTTTATAAGAAAAATTTCAGTAGGTGGAAGGTTTTATGTATTAGCAGCTGAGCTGATGAATTTAAGGTTTTTCTGGCATTTGAAGGGGAACAAGATAGTGGCACACTAAGTTAAGAGTAAATGGAATTATGTTGCAAGTACTATGTGAGAGCCATTTTTAAAACTTTTCTTAGTCTTTTTAAACTTATTTTTTATTTTTTTCCCCATTTATATGAAAGTTACACAGAGAGAGAGGAGGAGAGGCAGAGAGAGAGAGAGAGAGAGAGGTCTTCTATCCGCTGGTTCACTCCCCGATTGGCCGCAATGGCTGGAACTAAGCCAATCCAAAGCCAGGAACCAGGAGTTTCTTCTGGGTCTCCCACGTGGGTGCAGTGGCCCAAGGACTTGGGCCATTTTCCACTGCTTTCCCAGGCCACAGCAAGAGCTGGATTGGAAGTGTAGCAGCTGGGACTCGAACCGCCGCCCATATAGGATGTGGACACTGCAAGCGGTGACTTTACCTGCTACGCCACAGCGCCGTCCCCTTTTCTTAGTCTTAACTGCAGAATGGCCTTGAAACAGAACAGCCTAAGGGCCAGAAAACTTAAAAGTTTGGTCAGTTTTTGGTCAAATGTGAAATATAAATGGACAAAATTTAGTTTTAACATGGAGCTTTACTGATAAATGTAAGATACCAAAAACATAAAATAACTGGAAGTGTTGGGTGTCACAGAAAAACTGATGAAAAATATAGTCTGTGAGATAAGTTTTAACATGAGTTCTGAAGAAAATAGGCCTTTGGAGAGGAGATAAAGGCCATTACCAGTTGTATTAATAATAATGCATGTATGGTTTTATGTGTATGTATATACCTATATATATATATATATATACACACACACACACACACACATACATACAGAGAGGGAAAGAGACTGAAATTTTTGGCAGGTCATTTTTTTTTTTTTTTTTTTAAATTTTTGACAGGCAGAGCGGACAGTGAGAGAGAGAGACAGAGAAAAGTCTTCCTTTTTTCGGTTCACCCCCCAGTGGCCGCTGCGGCCGGCGCACTGCGCTGATCCGAAGCCAGGAGCCAGGTGCTTCTCCTGGTCTCCCATGCTGGTGCAGGGCCCAAGGACTTGGGCCATCTTCCACTGCCCTCCCGGGCCACAGCAGAGAGCTGGCCTGGAAGAGGAGCAACCGGGACTAGAACCTGGGATGCTGGCACCGCAGGCGGAGGATTAGCCCATTGAGCCGTTGCGCCGGCCAGCAGGTCATTTTAAGAATAAAATAGAAAACAAATAAAATAGAAATGAATAAAATAAAAATCTTAGTGATAGAAATAGATGATAGATACATGTTTTACTTATTAGTTTCTTATTAGCTTATTAGACTGAGCCGTCTATTAAGGAGAGACAGCAAATATAAATAAGGGTATTACATCTGGTGTTGTGGTTCTGATGGTTAAATTTACAGAGTTGAGTGTGACTGACATTTTTGCTGCTTAAAATTTTTATTCATCCTGTGCCTTAGAGATACTATGTATTTCCTCTATGATTTTGTGTTTCTAATCCATAATTAGGCAGGGTTTCTGAAATTGGGGTCTGTATATCACCCAGTGTATATGTAAATAGTCCAGATTCATACATCCCTCTTGCATTGAATCAATATTGTTGAAGATGGAGCCCAAGTAGCTGCATTTTTAGATTTCCTAGGTGGTTTTGAGACTCAGTCTTCTAGTGTCTTAAAAGTTTGGTAGTTTTACTAAAAAATATTTATGTGTAGTGTATTCATTTTCTGCTGTCAGCCTGTGGGATACTGGGTGGGATTCTTAATCTTTGGGATTTGATTTCCTCATAGGGTATAATGTACTGTGTATTAAAAGATTACAATTAATATTCTATAGAGAAACACTCTATACAACTGAATTAGCATTTTACAGAGATTATTTGGAGGCTTGCTTTATGCTTCAGAATTAGTTTGTTGTAGGAGTTAAGTTTTGATAGGTATGCTAAAAGTTTGATTTGAGAAATAATATTTTTATTTCTGTGTACTGAGTCTGTTAAATTCCAGATAGGCATTATTCTTCATCCTTTTACTATATTTTTTTCCTGATCCAGTATCCTGGCAATTGAGAAGCAGCAGTCACAGGACCTGCCCATGACCAGTACTCTAGGAGGTAGTGGATAGATGCCCATATTTGTACCTAACATAGTAAATGCATGGCATATAGAGTTAATTAAAAGCAGAATTGTTGCAGTTATCTGAAAGGATCAGTGGTGTGTACTTAGTGAGTTCCTATAACAGGGACACTTCAAAAAGTTACTAGAAAATGCGCACTGTGAAAAGATTATGGATGTCACTTTTTTTTTTTTTTTGACACTAAAATAAGCTTAGTTTTAGTTGCCTTTTTGCACCAACTTTTTGCAACTCCTGTATATATTTTTGGCATACTTGGAGGGAGGGTAGAGGAAAGAAATGGAAAGCACTTAGCTTTGTGGATTAAAATAAGAAAACATTGCTTTGTCAGCTGAAAGCACTCAGGCCACAGGACCTGCCTAAATACCCTTCTACTCATCTTGGCAATAGCAGTAGGGTAATTTGTCTCTTGATATGTTCTTGTATGTTCATAAATATTATGGAAGATGAATTTACATTTATTTTATAAAATATGAATGATTTTTAGTAAAATTTATTTGAAAGTTTATTCAGTTGTCTATGTAAAAGGAATTGAGTGAGGTGTTTTATATTTTAGGTTAAAAATCTGTAAGAGCCTGATTTTAGAATTCACCAGCTCCTCAGAAGTTTGGCGAAATATGGTATGTTTACATTTTTTTGTTTTTGTTTGTTAAGAATTCATATTGCATGAATATCTTAATGTCATGGTTAGAATAATGACAAATGCGTTCAGCAAATTTGGACGCTTGCCATTTTTAAAGCAGTGTGCTAGGTACTAAGTAACTATATAGGTAGGCTGTATGCAGGACCCAACTGGAGTGCATAAAGAATTTAGAAGATTAGTGTGTGCCATGAGAAGTAAAAATAGTATTTATAAGAGGATTGAGGGGACAGGTTTGGCTGTTGGGCTATGAATATTAATAATAGATTTCATTTAAGATTTCATTATTTGCCAGACATTGTTTAGATGTTAGTTCATTCATCTTCATGACAGTCCTTACTACATCTTAGTTCTACCTATAGGAATACTAAGGTTCAGAGAGGTTAAGTAACTTGCCCAAGATTTCCCAGCTACTGAATGGCCAAACCAGGGACATGAATACCTGTTTGGAGCTTGTTTGGTGTTCTATTAAGCATTGGACCTCATAAAAGAGGAGTCTGGAAGAGATGTTTTGACTTTGTAATTTTTAATATACATATAGCTGTTTAATTTGGCTTCAATTAGTCAATTGAAAGATATTTTAACTTTCTTATTTTTGTGTTTATAAGATGTGAAGTTAGTGTTATTTGTATCTTCCAGATCACATACACTATTAGTTTCATCAACACTTAAGAGGAAACTCACTATTTTGACTCCATTCTTCATTTCAGGAATGCTGTTGCTTCTTTCTCATGTGACTTCAGTAATACATAGGTTCTTAATAAGACATGTAATTATGTCAGTCAAATTTAATTACAAGGTACTTCAAAGAATTAGTGGGAAATGGAATTAAAAGAAGTTTGTTTTGGTGCAGAAGTTTGTTAATTCCATGTATACTTTTTTCCTAATTCACGTTTTTCATGAACTTTTAAAGACTCCCCTCATTTCCTCATAATGATTGGATGTCAAAATATTTTGTACCAATTTTTGCTTATCTTTTAAATCCATTTTCCATGAACTTTTTGAAGTATTCTCATCTTTTTATAGTGATTGTAAGTCTTATTTATGGGCATTTCCTGAGATTATTTACATATACTCAGACAACTCCTCACCTTCATCTGGATTTAAAGCCCTGTGTTCATAGCTATGGAAGTACAGGCTCAAGCATTGATGTGTCAGCACTTCTCTATGGGTTCTCAGATACCTTGATGTTTTTTATTTGGCTCTGGGTCCATGCTGGTAACTGCCTTCTGTGCTTGTCTGTTGTTAGTTTGAACGCATTAATTATGAAAGATCATTCCCTTCTAATTTTCTCATCTTCCCTTAGTTGCTCCTCAGATAGTGCCTGAATAATGCAGTTCAGTAGGGGAATTACAAGAGGAAAAACTAATAGTTTGAAAGGATCTCTTGATACAAGGCTATATCACATGTATGCTGTGCTTGCCAAAACCTGTAGTATAATTAAGGAGATCTGCAAAATTTGGACCATGACAATTAGGAAAATTTAGCTGAGGCCACCTTAAAAGGGGGTAAAAGATAACTTGGTTGAAAGGAGGATATAATTTCATAGTTTTATCATAATCTTTCATGAAATTGAATCTAATGAGTTTGACTGGAAAGACTAGGACGTATTTTCATGCAGTAACCAAGGAGTTTTGGCTAATGTGTGGTGAATCTACGTAAATATGGAATAAGTAACACTTTGGTTTGTATATGTGCGTGTGTATGTATATAACTATTTCTTTAAACATTTTCATTTTTGGTGATTTGTTTTCTTCATCTGTTTAAGAACCCTATCACTAAAATGTGTCATATTGAACCTGTTGCCATAATTTTGAGGTCTCAATCCATGTCCTAATTTTTTTGCTCTTACATTAAGTAGCGAAACTAAACCAAAATAAAAATTCAGCCTCCAAAATCCAAACTTCTTTATTCAGTAAATTTGCATTTTATTACTAGTTTCAGCACTAATTCTAAAATCTTGGGCAAGTCAGTTAATCACTCTGAGGCTGCTTGATTTTTTAAAGTTCTTATGTATGAAATAGCTTTATTAGTTAGTCAAGTTGTCTTGAGATTCAAGGTAATTACCAAGCAGAGTGCTTTGTAAACTCATAACATTACACAGAAGTAGAAGGTATTATCACAGATTGAGTTTCCTTTGTCTGAAATAATTGAGACCAGAAATGCTTTATTTCTGAGTTGTTCGGATTTTGAATACTTGTATAGACTTTATTGGTTGAAAAATTCTATAATTTGAAAATCCAAAATGCTCCCAATAAGCCCTCAGATTATTTAGGAGCATTTTGGATTTTCAGGTTAGGGATGTTCAACCTATACCATGTTTTCTCAATGAAAATATCATTTAAGAAAACAAAATGCTGAAGAATAGTTCTTTGTAGTAATTATTCTTCTGATGAATTTTGCATTGACACCTAATTTAAAGTTTCAAATTATTATTTGAACAATGAATTGGATTTATATATTAAAGTGTTCTAACTAAAGATTTGTTTAATTTATTAGAGTTATTAAGCCTACGCTCAGATCAAGTTAGCAGCTAGACTGGTGTGCCAACCTGTTTTTAATCAGTGACTCAAAGCTGTGATCACCCTGATGTCACCGAATGGCCACAGCTTGTAAAAGGTAATTTTGAATGTTATGTTAGAGCCTTTAAAAGGCTGCCATTGTAAAGTGAAATACATGCTGTAAAAATGGAGAAAATGTGTAGTTGGCAGAAACACTGCCAAGAATAGTGGACCTAAGAGTTGATTTATTTCTTCATTTAGTCTCATTCTGAAATATTTATTTTTTTCCCCTCATTCAGAATATCAGTAGCCACCACTGAAGACTTATCTGTGTGGATAAACAGGAAAGCATTTCTCAAAAAATTTCAAGTTGTAACATATAAACATTTTATTATATACATTGTAAAGGAGATTTGTAATATTTCTTAATAAACATTTTAAAGTGTGTCTTTTACGTGGTGGGTGTTTTAATTAAGATACGTTTCTAGAAATTTTTATAACTTTAATAAAACTAGTATACTTTTCTCTCCTAGAGAGTTACAGTGGAGGTAAAAGGAGTGGCTTGCAGGATGGAGAAGCTGCACCCAGTATTATTGGAAGTGAGCCACCGTTTGAATTTGCTAGCTAATGCTGCAGTATTCAGATTAGTGGGTGTTTTGTGATCATACTTTTTGCTATTCAAATCAAGACTTAAAATTGAGACTTTTCTAAGCTGTATTTTCTATTTTTTTAATACTACTTAGTTATGGCTTCGTTTTTAAAATTTTCTTTCTGCTTTGTTACTCTGCTGGTTTAAGATAACAATGGCTTTTTTTTTTTTAATTTAGTAAAATTATGAGCACATAGTGGATTGTAACTCCCAACATCTTAGCAGTAAAGAATAAATAAGCTCTGAAGGAGCCAGAGTAGAGTGTGGGAACTGTTGTATAAGGGGGCCTTAAAAAAATTCATGTCCTGAAAAAAACATGTAAAAATTTAAAAGTTTTTCTGTATCAAAATTGTAATTCCATTTTTCCACAAAGTTTTTGAAGTGCCTTTGTGTGTTTCATAGTTTGAAGAGTTTGTATCCTAACTTTAGGATAATTTTTGGTAACTTTAAAATATTATTGAAATGTTTAAGCAAGATGACTAGAAATTTATTGAGAAATGGATCATTAATACTGCAAGAAGAGTGTTTATTCTCTGTATATTCATTTTTCTCTCGATTTAAAAAACATTTCCTATTTGAATAGAAAGTAATATGCTATATATGAGACCCAGAATAGATTTATTTTAAGGAAAATTTTTCAATTTTTTCTTATTGTTTTGTTCTTTTTCTAGACTGGATTGGTTTAAATTATTTGGTTTGACTCATAGACGGTTTTTAGTAACTCACTTTAACATACATAGATATTAAGTAATTATCTAGTATAACAATAGTGACATTTTGATACAAGTGATCACATACTGTTTAGGGGAAAGAAATTGGGAAAAATTGATGTTGAACTTTATCTCTGTCCTGTTTCAGAATCTCAAGACTTTGCAGCCATTATATGTTTTACTTTAAGGTTTGAGCTTGTTTTCCTTTTTGGCTGTGTCTTTCCTTTTTTTGCAGTACTATTTTAATTTTCCTATCATTAAGTCCCATTTTTCCCCTCACCTTGCCCTGATAATTTTTAGAGTTTGATACCTACATGTTTGAAAGCTTCTAATCTGCCCGTCTTCCCTCAGTGCCAGCACGAATTTAGTTTTTGTTTTGCAAGCCAGCTCTGTCTCTTTATAGTATGATATCTGATGCTAGGGGGTCACACTTGGCAAAAATGAATCAGCTGGTACATGGGCATATCATCAGTTTTTAGCTCTTCTGTCTAAAAGATACTAGTTTGGAAGCAATCTTGGGGTACTTACCCCACAAGGCTGGTAGAGACCAGGTGTGTCACAGAGGTGATTTGCTTGATCCCTGGGGAGAGGGTAGAGTGAAATTTTTACATTGTGTAACTTCAAAGTCACTACCACCTCCAGCATGCTCCGGTTTTTAGTTCTTAAACAATTTTCTATAAAATTTAAATATACTGGAAAGATCTAAAATAAATATTTGAGCTGCTGGAGTATTGCGTCCTTCGAATATGAATAGACTACAGTGAGTGTAACTTTGAAACCCTAATAAAAATTTTTTTTTGAAGCCCATAAATTTGGGGAACATTTTCTTCTAATGACTCTGATTTTAAAATTCTTTTAAGTTTTTTTTTTTTAAGTTGGATATCTGAAGTCTGATAAATTCACAAATCAAGTCCTTATAGTACCAATTTGATATACAGGTTTTGACTTCAAAGAAAATTTTTTTAACCTTTATTACGAATTTGAAACATTAGAAATTGGTATTATGTTGCTGTACATTTTTTTTTTAAATAAATTTGTGTATTTTTTATTTGTAAGAGTAACAGTTTGAGAGAAAGAGAGATCTTCTGTCTGCTGATTTGCTCCCACAGTGGCTGCAATGGCCAAGGCTGGGCCTAGCTGAAGCCAGGAGCCTCATTGAGGTCTCCCACATGGCTGGTAGAGTCTCAGACACTTGGACCATCATCTGCTGCTTTTTCCAGGCCGTTAACTGGGAGCTTGATTGGAAGTAGAGCAGCTGGGACACAAACTGGAACCCATATGAGCTGCCAGCTTTGCAGGTGGTGGCTTTATCCACTACAACACAACACCAGCCGCTGTTGGATTACTTTACAGCAGTGGTTGACTAATGCTGTTTATAAAAATGAATAAGGTAACAGGCTTTTTTTTTTTTTTTATACTGTAATAGTCATGGAAAATATGGGTTTGTGTCCTTCAAAATGAAAGTGAAAACCTTCTTCTTTAGAATTTTCAGTATTTCTACTTTAAATAACAGCAGTACATTCAGAGGTATCAAAGTAATTGACAACTATTTAAAACTGAATTAATTGACAATTATTCAGAGCTAACTTCAGTAGCCCAGGCAGTATACTTCAGATAGGTAGTACATCCTGCTAATATGTTTTTAGAGAGACCTAATTTCATTGTGGAATCAAGATAATCATGATCAGAATGGTATCTCACTGAGGCTGTTAGATTTTAGTTTGTTATTTAGTACAGAGATTGGCAAGCTTTTTTGTTAAGGTCTAGATAATAAATATTTTAGGCTTTGTGGACCATATGGTCTCTGCCACAGAGAGTCACTCTTGCTTTTTAAGAGTGAAATCATCCTTAGATAATACCTAATAGAACTTTATTTACAAAAACAGCTGGTGTCCCAAGCTTTAGTTTGTCTAACTTAGCAGTAGTTTGTTAACCATTTTGAATATCATTTTATTAATATGGATAATCAAAACTGGGCAAAAGATAGCTTCGTAAAATAAAAGCTTGTTTGTTTTTATTATAAATATTCAACTGTAAATAATTATGATTTATAGTGGTTTATCTGTTGGTATCTGACTAATGTTAACAGTTTCCTTTTCTTGAAGATAATGCATAATGTTTTTTATTAGTCCAGTACTTTAAATGTATTGTATGGTAAGCCGATCTGACTACTTTTTTCTCATTTGAAATGTTTATTTTAAAAACTATTGCATCTAGTGCTTATATTTTATTCTTCAACCTGTCTTTCCAAGTTATATGTTTACCCTTTTTTAGAAAATGGTGGAATATTTTACTAACTTTTTCTTCAATTGCATTTTACAGATCACCAGGAGAACCTCAGTCTGACGACATTGAAGCTAGCCGAATGTAAGTATGACTTGTTTACATTGCCCTAGACAGCTTTGAATATTACCACATTACTTGAAAATGATTTCTAGTTAAAATATTTTAAAAGCAAATTTGGACATAGAAACATACTTGCTTTTTTTCTTATCAAATACCTCAAAACCTTGGTAAGAAGTCACTAGATTTCTACACTTAAAATTTCATGCTCTTGGATTCTTATCTTTTTGCTTTATCCTTTGTGTGGTAGAAGGGAGGTTGACAAAGAAGTTGAGTTTAATAATCTAGTGCCATCTTGTGTGTAAGGCATCAGGTATTATGTTTTGGGTGCAGAGATGCATGAGAATTAGTTCCTGCTTTGCAGAAATTTAAAATATACTCAGATTAAAAGATGCAGAAACAATTTCATTCACTGAGGCAGAATGGTCACCAGAGTGTACCCTGGACGTAAAGTCCTGGAGTAAGCAGGTATGCACTAAGAACCTAATTCTGATGGAAGGGAGATAGGGTTAACTAGAGAAGACTAAGTTAAATCTTAATATGTGCCAGGGAAATAGGCATCTGGAACTGTGAGCTGGATTGTACTAAGCATAAGTATGAACAAAGTTGTGAAACAGCATAGGGTAGAGGACAGTGGGCAATTGAAGACTTTCAGATCATAGACTGGGAAAGAGGTAAGACTTGATAGAAAAGACTGTAACCATGGCATGCTCTCTGAAGGGTTTTGGCTTATATCTTACAGATATTTTGGAGTCCTAAAGAATTCACTCAGTAAGAGGTAGTAATGCTGTTAGACATGTATTGATAATAGCTTTAGCAGTGGATAAACAGGATTAAAGTTAGGATGATGACGACTTCAGTAGTTCAGTCAGTGAAATCATTAACAAGGACAGTAGTACAATATAAATATCAAAATAAATTTTCTAGGTATAAGGCAAATATTTAGAAAGTGAAGTAAGGTTTTATTGATTCATTTTGAAGACTTAAGTTTAAGGTAATAGAGGTGGTAAGGGTTTTTGAGATAGTAAGGATCAGAATGAAAGATACAGTTATTGGGTTTGACCTTGAATAAGAGGAAAGACATTTATCTGAAATTAGAAGAAAGAGGTAAAGATGATACATAATGTTAAATGTGTTTGTGCATGAGGGTCAGAAAATCAAGGTTTTTTAAACTGAAAATAGTAGGAAATTATTTTTTGTACTGATGGACATTGTGAATCTTCAAAAAAGGACTGTAGATATATTTTTCAAATATATATGCCAATGTAACTTCCTATTAATTTTTAAAAAGCTATAAAATATGTAACCCTCTTCACCATTTTAAATGTACAATTTAATGGTGTTAAGTTTATTAATATTGTGCAACCATCACTACAACAATTCTAACAGTGTATCATTTTGCCAAACTTTTTTTTTAAAAGATTTATTTATTTATTTATTTGAAAGGCAGAGTTCCAGAGAGGCAGAGGCAGAGAGACAGAGAGAGAGAGAGGTCTTCCATCTGGTGGTTCACTCCCCAGATGGCCGCAATGGCCAGCGCTGTGGCAGTCTGAAGCCAGGAGCTTATTTCAGGTCTCCCTTGTGGATGCAGGGGCCCAAGGACTTGGGCCATTTTCTACTGCTTTCCCAGGCCATAGCAGAGAGCTGGATCGGAAGTGGAGCAGCTGAGTCTCAAACTGGTGCCCATATGGGATGTTGGCATTGCAGGCTGTGGCTTTACCTGCTACGCCACAGTGCCGACCCTTGAAAAAACATTTTTAAGACTTGTGGAGTTAAACAAGATAATTCCCTATGCCCCTCTCTGCTGCCAGTCACCATTCTACTTTGTGTCCATGATTTTGACTAGTGAATACTTCATATAAGTATAATCATGCAGTTTTTATCTCTTGGCAATTGACTTATTTTATTTAGCATAGTGATCTCAAGGTTCATCTGTATTATAGCATGTGTCAAAATTTTCTTTTTTTAAGGCTGATTATATTTTATATATGTACTATATATACATTCATCTGTTGATGGATGCTTTGGTTGCTTCCATGTTTTAGCAATTTTGAGTAATGTTACTATGAATATAGGTGTACTCTTGAAGACTCTGCTTTCAGTTGTTTTGGACATATACCTAAAAAGTGGCATTATTGGATCATATGATAATCTATTTTTAATTTTCTCAGACCACTGTATTGTTTTCCACATTGGCTGCACCATTTTACATTCTTGCTAACAGTACACAAGGGTTCCAATTGTTCTGTATCTTGTCAGAATTTTTTTGTTTGTTTTGTTTCTAGATAGTAGCCATCCTAAGAGAATTGAGTAGGTATTTAATTTTAGTTTAGTGACCATGTACTTTTTATGAAACATTTTTTAGTTGTGTTTTGTGGAATTGTATAATTAGTATATAGTTAGGGAACTTGTTAATACTGAAAACTTAGTAAGTTACTAAGGGGTATGGGTGAATAAGTAGAATGAAGATTGTTGAGAGTCTCATGCCACAGTGGCTAGCTGAAATTAGAAACCTTATCACTCTTGCAGTTGTAAATTTTTTCTCTAGTAGCCAGAAGATTACATTATTCCAGGGTTAGGTATTAGCAGAATAGATGGGCTAGAACCACTAGTGGTATGGCACAGGATATTAACATCGGGGTAATAAGTTTATATGCTTTGGATGAAGGCAGTGGTTGGAGGGTTGTGGTGCCAGATCAAAATGTTTAATTGTTTAATGAAAAACCTGGCTTCTTAAGGTTTAGATGCTAGCAAGATATGATCTTGTATTACTCATCTTACAGAAATGTTAATTTGAAAAGCTATCCACACAGAAAAATTCCTTCAGAAGAGCTACGAAAATTATTTCAGAGATTACTGGATTTGGCACAGATGCTCCTGCATTTGGCACAGATGAGGAAAGATACATTAAAGAGAGTAGGAAGGGCAGTGTTAAATTACCTGCATCACTTCTCCTTTAACCCTGGGTAGCAATATGCAGAGATAATCTCTTTTGGGGGAAAAAGAAGGGCATAAACTTGAAACTTTGTATTTGACTTCAACAATGGTCCTGTTCCAGTAAAGTGGAGGGCCAGGCAAGTCCCCGACCCCAAAGTCTTAAGTTTATATCCATGGACTGAGCCTCTTGTCCCACCTTGGCTGAATACCAGACTTCTAGTTCCAGGACAGCCCACTTCTAAGCCAGTACCTGGAGCTTTATCCTCCTTGTGTTCCTTGTTCGAGGTCTCAGGGTCTCCTTATTACTCCTTATCCTTCTCGTGTTCCTTGCTTCAGATCTCAGGGTCTCAGTCAGTCTTATAGACCCTATTGCTGGGTTGATCCCTTCAAGCTAGGATTATCCCTGTGGACTCAAGTACAAGGCCAGATTCTGTGTCCTCAGGATTTATCCCATGGTTCTGTACCTAATCTCCAGGCCAGTACCCACATACCAAACCTCTGAGCTGGTTTTCCTTAATCTAGCCTGTGCACTTGCCTTATCACCAGTAGATGTGAAACTGCAAACCAATCTCTCTGGCCTCACGTTCCTATGGAACCAAAGTACAGATCTACTCCAAAAGACCCTGTGCCAAACCTGCCCCACATACCAGAATTTTAGTACCTCCCTTGTAGAACCTGCTCTTGAGGCCAGCCCTGTGGTCTCAGGTTCCAAGCTTGTGCCCCCATGAGGCCAGTACCTTGGACTTAGGCGCTAGGCTTGTTGTTGTGGGCCCAGGTGCAGACCCCTTCTAGCACCTGGCTGGTATTACAGATTCAGACTCCCAGCCTACTCCATCACCAGATCAGCCCATGAGGACCCAGGCTTCAGGCAGGTCCATGTGGACACAGACTATAGGACCGTGTTCCTGGATCCAATAAATAGGTCCACTTCAGTGCTGTCAGGTTTCATATCCAGACCTGAGACTTAGACTTCAGACCAGCCTACCCAAAGATTCCAGGAGCAATACTGCCTTTGCACACCAGATGGCCTACCACAAATCTCTGCAGGCTGACTGGTGAAGAACTTTCCCAAAGTCAATCTGTAAAAGATTGAAGTCCCATCTTTTTCAAATACAGATTTCAGTGCATGACCACAGGGATAAAGAACAGTCTGGGAACCATGACACAATCAAAGGAACAATATTACCAGTTTTCAACTCTAAAGAAATGGCAGTTTGTGATCTGCTTGAAAAAGAATTCAGAGAATTTTTTTTTTACGATTTTATTTATTTGAGAGGTAGGATTACAGATAGTGAGAGGGAGAGACAGAGAGAAAGGTCTTCCTTCCATTGATTCACTCCCCAAATGGCCACAATGGCTGGAACTATTCTGATCTGAATCCAGGAGCCAGGCACCTTTGCCTAGTCTCCCACGTGGGTGCAGGGTCCCAAGGACTTGAGCCATCTTCTGTTGCTTTCCCAGACCATAGCGGAGAGCTGGATTGGAAGTGGAGCAGCTGGGACTAGAACCAGTGCCAATTATGGATGCCAGCGCCGCAGGCAGAGGGTTAACCTACTGTACCATGGTGCCGGCCCCCAGATAATTTTTTTAAAGAAGCTCAGTGAATCTTAAACTATAGAGAAACAGAAAACAGTAAACTACCAAAATGAGAAATTTAACTATGAGTTTGAAATTATTAAAAAAGTCAAATTCTGGAGCTGAAAAATACAATGAAAGAAAAAATGCAAAAGAGGGCATCAGCAGTGGAAGAAGAAAAATCTGAATTTAGGTTATTTGAAGATATATAGTTGGGGCTGGTGCTATAGCATAGTAGGCTAAGCTTCCTCCTGTGGTGCCAGCATCCCATATGGGCACCAGTTCTTGTTCTGGCTGCTCCTCTTCTGATCCAGGTCTCTGCTCTAGCCTGGGAAACCAGTAGAAGATGGCCCAAGTCCTTGGGCCCCTGCATCAATGTAAGAGACCCAAAGGAGGCTCCTGTTGCCTGGCTTCGGATCGGCTCAGCTCCTGCCATTGCAGCTATCTGGGAAGTGAACCAACAGATAGAAGACCATTCTCTCTCTCTCTCTCTCTCTCTCTCTGTAACTCTA